GAATGTTTAGTATACTTCGCTTAAGAAAACAATGAAATGATTAGTCAATTCCAGAAGAAATTTAATAGAAAATAGTTATGTTTGGACACCTAATTCAGTTGTATAAAAAGTTAGCTCTAGAGACCATCCATTCCCTAAAAGTTCCATATAAATGAAGTCTTACTGTATGTGTAAGATTCCTTCTCCTCCAAAGAAACTATCTAGGTATGAAGATTAAAAAGGTAAATAGTTCAAGAAAAGGCATTACAAAGAAGTTTATGATTAATTAACATAACAGTATAGGAATTCAAAGGGGAGAGCATTTCTGTCACAGAAGTGATGAGATTTTAGTAGGTGTTTAAAGTTTGAGTAAACCTTATGGAGGAAAGTAGAAGGTATGCCAGATCAGTACTGAGTTATACCAGGAAGGCTCATTACCTTCCAACCTCTGTACTGAATTTAGAAGTCCTTGAGATGGAGGATTTCTATTCACTTGCCTTACTCATGCTTGGGTGCACCCTCAGTCACTCAGTTGTGTCCGACTCATTGCAACCCCATGGACTATAGCCTGCCAGACTCCTCTGTCCATGGAATTTTCCTGGCAAGAACACTGGAGTGGGCTGCCATTTCCTCCTCCAAGGGATCTTCCTGGCCCAGGGGTCGAACCTGCAGCTTCTGCATTGGCAACCAGGTTCTTTACCGCTGCACTATCTGGGAAGCCCGCCTCACTCATCAAAGACTATCAGTCGAGTCAAGGGGCTCTGTGGCTAAATAAAGTCAATATAAAGAGAATCCTTATTTTCTAGGTTCTTCTCTGTTAAAAATTCTAATCATTATGAAAAAAATTAACTGTGCTTATTTGAAATATTGTGGATATAAGAGAATCAGACAACTGACATTAACCTTTTTTTATTTTTGGCACAGGTCTGTGGCTTCTGAACTTGAAAAGATACAGAAGTTTAATTGTATCCTTTAAACATAATATAATGTCCTGCATAATTTCTGTTTCCCTTGTAGGCTTAAGCTAGCCTGTGGAGACTTTCACACTTATATAATTATGTTCTAACATTATAACTGAGAACTGTCTCTGACTTCTTCCTTTTGTAAAATCTGTATGATTTTTATTTACTTTTTTTTTTTAAATTTCAGCTTCATTGAGGTATAATTAAAGAAACTGTAAGGTATTTAAGTAGTACATCACAGTGACCTGACACACATAGCATTGTTAAAGGATCACCGTATCTTGTTAATTAATCCAAGCATCATTTCACGTATCTTCCACCTCTCTTTTGCTTGGGGACAAGAGGGATGAGAACATCTTCAGTGCTTCAGTCATACAGCACAATATTATCAACTACAGTCATCATGTTATACATTAGATCCTCTGACTTTATTCATCTTATAGCTGAAAGTTTATATGCTTTTACTAACTTCTCCCTCTTTCCCCACCACCCAGCCCCTGGCAGCTACTACTCTGCATTGTTTCTAGGAGTTTTGACTTTTTAAAAAATTCTACATATGAGTGACACCATATAGTATCGATATTTGTCTTTCTCCTTATTTCACTTAGCAAAATGCCTTCAAAGTCCATCCATGTTGTTGCAGATGGCAGGATTTCCTTCTTTCTCATGGCTGAATGGTACTCTATTGTGTGTATATATGTGGGAATCATCTTTATCCATTCATCCAACATGGACAATAGGTTGTTTCCATATTTTAACTACTATGAATAATGCTAAAGTGAACATAGGAGTGCAGATCTCTCTTCTGTAGACTGTTTTCATTTCTTTTGGATATATATACCCAGAAGTGGGATTGCTAGATCATATGGTATTTCTGTCTATAATTTTTTGAAGAAACTTCCATACTGTTTTCCACAGTGGATGTACCAATTTATATTTCTACCAAAGTACACAGTGGTTCTCTTTTCTCCACATCCTTACCAACACTCATTATGTCTTTTATATATATATAAAAACTTTATTTTTATTTTTTTAAAAATGTCTATGTATTTGGCTGCATCTGGTCTTAGTTGCAACATATGGAATCTTCACTGCATCATGAGGATCTTTTGTTGTGGTATACTTTTCACTGTTGACTATATTAGCTGTGGGATAATCATATATGATCTTTATTATGTTGAAGTATGTTGCCTCTATATCCAGTTTGTTGTTTTTCTGCATCATTTGAGATTATATGACTTCTGTCCTTCATTTTTCATGTGGTGTATCATATTTTCATATGTTGAACCATCCCTATATCCCTGTAATAAATCCTGCTTGATCATGTGTATGACCATTTTAATATAATGTATTCAATTTGCTAATGTGTTGTTGAGGACTTTTGCATCTGTGTTCATCAGGGATATTGGCCTGTAATTTTCTTTTCTTGTAGTGTCTTGATCTGGTTCTGGTTATCAGGGTAATCCTGGCCTCGTAAAATCAGTTTTGAAGTATTCTCTTCTATTTTTTGGAAATGATTGGTATTAATTCATGTTTAAATATTTAGTAGAATTCACCAGTGAAACCATCTGTGTTGAGAGGTGTTTGATTACTGATTCAATTTCCTTACTAGCAGTTGGTCTGGATTCATTCTTGGTGGGTTGTATGTTTCTAGGAATCCATCCATTTCTTTTAAGTTGTCCAATATGTTGGTCTGTAATTGTTCATAGTATATTGTGATCCTTTTTATTATATGATATTGGTTGTAATTTCTCCTCTTTCACTAATTTATTTGAGTTCTCTTTTTTTCTTGATAAGTCTAGCTAAAGTTTTGTTCATTTTGTTTATCTTTGCCCCCCCCCCCAAAAAAAAGCCAGCTTTTTTTCATTGATCTTTTCTGTTGTGTATAAGCTTCTTCCAGGGAGACAGAAACAACCTAAAGTAGGCCAGAGGAGGAAGGAATATGGAGATATCACCTGCCAGCCTTCCTCTGGGGGGATCATGCTCTGCCCCTAGGTGTGTGCGAAATTAGAAACTTTTAAAAAATTTGTCTGCGCTGGGCCTTAGTTGCAGCATGCAGGATCTTTGATCTTTTTTGCAGCATGTAGGATATTTAGTTGCGGCTTGTGGGATCTAGTTCCCTGACAAAGGATGGAACCTGGGCCCTCTGCATTGGGAGAGTGACGTCTTAGCCACTGGACCACCAGGGAAGTCCTAGAAGCTTTGAAAGCAGCAGATAGGCCGCTTTTAGGGAAAGATTGGGAGATGAGTGTTTGTCTGCTCAGAGCTAGGAGTTTTACGTGCCTGTCCCACACTTGGAAGTCTTAAAAAATTGAAGCATTAGATCTTGGGTCCAAACCCTTTACTCCTCAGGGTGAAGCTGGGCTAATTGTGAATTCCCCGCTATTGTGCTGAGGGTGGGGTTTATAGTGAAAGCCTGTCTTATTCTTACCCATTTCTTGATGTTTTCTTATTCATTCAGTGGATAGCAGTCACTTGGGTTGTTCCTGTATTTCTGACAGTGAGAACTGCTCTGTATGTAGCATAGATTCAGTGTGTTTGTGGGAGGAGGTGAGTTCAGGAACTTCCTCTGTTACCAGCTTAGACTGGACTCCTACTTTTTCTTGTTAAACCTTTTGTTCTGTGCATTCCTACCCCACTCATCTAAATTCCTTTTATCCTCTTATTTTTCCGTAATCCTATTCAAATAATAAAGTAGCTCTGAAATAGCGGACACATTTATTTTCACTATAGATGTTTTAAGTTATTTAAAAATACCCTACACAGATTGTTCATATTCCTCTCACCCCTACTTTGTTCCCTTGCATTCCCGAATCACTTCATCACTTAAAGAAATGTTTAGTCACTAAGTCATGTTCAACTTTTTGCGACCCCATGGACAGTAGTCCCCTAGGCTCCTCTGTCCATGGGATTTCCCAGGCCAGAATACTGGAGTGGTTGCCATTTCCTTCAGGGGATCTGCCCTACTCAGGGATCAAACCTCGGTCTCCTGCATTGCAGGCAGATTCTTAGCTACCTGGAAGCCTTTAAAGAAATGTTACTGAGATTTTAATTCTTCTGTTTCCTCCCTGTCACCAAACTTTCATCCAAATACAGACATACATACTGTCTTCCTTTCCCCTTCTTATATTCTAACTAGTTTCTTCATCTATATAAGGGATAGACTTGATAAATTCTGAAGTCCCAACTTTATTATGAATCCAAGAGATCTTCCTCCCAATAGAAAAATAATATTTTAATATGAAGGCTAGGTTTTCTGTATAGGAGGAAAGCTCCTTAACTAAGCAACTTAGTGTTATTGGAGAATAGTGGTGTCCTAAACCAGATTTCTCACAAGAAAAATGAACAGTCTTTGGATCGTTGTCAACCAAAATCTTCAGAAACCTTGCTAAAAGAAGTTAATGAAAAGAGTGTATCAGTAGCATTGAAAAAAACCTCTGAAATCCTTCAGGATATTGACAATCTTCTATCAAACTCTAAATGGTGAAAAATGGAATTAGTACAATATATTATTAAGCCCTGTGGATATTATTTCAAGTGATTGGTAGAATATTACTAGAAAACCAAGAAATTATATATATATACATGACTTGTGTACAATGAGTATGTGAGAAATGATATCTAACTTTGGAGGTGTTTTATCTAACTTGCAAATTTTAAAATATATATTTTATATTATTAATAAAGAACCATTTAAAAAATCTAAACAATTTCTTAGATTTGAGAAAATTTTATAAAACTGTAGAGTTGTTGCTGTTTTGTGGAGCATTCACTTTTAATCAAGATTTTTTAAAATTTTAATATGCAGAATTGTGTGCATTGGTCATTTGCTATTTAGTCTCTCTATGCCAAGTATTTTTCAGCAGATCTATGAAAAGAGAATCAGCTCTTTCAAAAAAAAAACCTTAATGTGGGCAATATTACTGCAAGCTAAGAATGGAGTACTTCAGCTAAGACTGAATTTTATCTGAATTTGTCTCATGTTACCAAATATTTTCATTTGTTTTGAACATCTCAAAAGATTTATGTTACAAAATACATGAGACCAAAAGAGAGAAATAAGCTCACCATAAGTACTATTTATTGCACCTGTCTATTGGGAAAGAAGAAAACCATACTTCCAAAAAGACTTCAGGATTATACCAAATATAACAAGAAATGTTAAAATTAACATCTGATTTCTTGAGAAGACCAGCCTCTTCACATAAAAGTAACATAGGAAACAAGAAAAACAGCGAAAAAAAGAGTGTAATAGGTTAGGAGATAAAATGTAAGCAATTTGAGCACAATGCTTTCTTGTTTCTCTCACACTGCCACCTTCAAGTATCAGCACAAATATCCCTCAGAGGGGCTTCCCCCAGTTACTGTTACATCACCATATTTATTCTTTGTGGTCTATATCTTCCACTAGAATTTGAGCCCCATAAAGTTATTTTATAGTCTTATTAACAAGCATAGTGTCTGGCATGTTGCGAACATTCAGTGTGTGTAAATGAACAGCCCCTTTGGGCAGTAGATTGACTACAGAAATAACTAAGTTCTGTTTTGGTGGCAGGAAACCATCTCGTCCCTAAATAACTCCAGAAAGCCTCGACTATAGTGAGACATGTACCCATGCTGCCATAAGGGTAATGCCAAATTGTTATTGCATTCAGACAGAAAAAAATCGCCCTTAACATGACTAAGAGCACTGTGGTTAATGTATTCAGCAATAAATATGTTTAATAAGCTTTTAAGCTGTGCAAGTAAAATATGTATAATTTCCTCCCTGAGTTGAGTCATTCCCATTAGCTCAGAACCAAGAGTGTGTCAAGCAATGAAAACTTCTATAGCAAAAACTAAGCCACACCTTAAGGTGCTGTGAGAGACCTAGAAGTTTATTTGAGATGGAAGATTCCAACTTTCTACCATCTCCTTCAACTATTAGTATTGATACGATCCCAATGCTGCCCCCGCATTACATCCAACACTTGTTTTGAGAAAGTAGGTAAGAAAGAGAAAAAAAATTTCCTCTGAGTCCCCTCTTTTGGGCCAGTACTTCCTAGGGTCAAATGTCAAGCTAGATGTCTCCTTGGTGCTTGGAGAGCACCCACCACTCCCAAGCCATGATGGGAACTGGCCAGAACTACTAAACACCTGCACTTTTGTCAGCCCAGTTAATCAAGGTCAAGCTACCTTTTATGTTGTCTTTTTCGACTCGGAAGAATTAGTAGTCACGATTAAGCCTTCTGGCCTTGTCACTGCCGACCACAAGCAGCGACCCCAAAGTCCACTGCACAAACGCAGAATAATTATCAAGAACTCCCCAAGAGGGCGGTGGAGCGCTACAAAAGAGCTTCAGGCCTGCAAAGTCACGCAGTCTAGCGGAGTGAAAAACTCCTACGCCCGCCGTAAAGGATCCTTTGCAGGAAGTCGGAAACATCTCAATACACCCGGAACAGCCGGTGTCTCCGAGCTCAAGCGTCTAGGGCCACGCTTCCCACATTTGATGAGGTTACGTGTCCCCGCTTCCCGCCGCAGCTTGGGTGCGCTGTGGACAGCTGTGGCTAAGCCGAAAAACAAATCCTCACGTTCAAGATGGAAACCAACAAGTCACTTTTCACTTCCCACCCCACTGTCCCAAATGTCTCCTTTTGAGGAGCACGACTTTCGGGGTAACACGAGATACCCACCGTCTCAGCTAACGAACACTAAAGCAGCGTTCCGGTCGGCGGGGGAATGGAACCAGTATCCCGGCGTCCTCTCGGTTCCTGTAATGGCGTAGCGGGGAGTGGTGAGGTGACGTAGCCGCTCTGGCCTGCGGCCGGCATCTCTATAGTACCGACAGGAGGATGGAGAGGGTATAGGGGGCGGGGCCGCCGTTCGCGTCGCAGGCTTGCTTCAGCGGGCGGAGCAGATGGTGCTTGCCTTTGGTCCTCAGCGAGAAACGGACTGTATGGACGCCGCGAAACTACGTCCTGAGGTGCGAGGCGGAAGCGGGGACCACTTGGACCTGAAAGGCTAGAAGATCCAGGTTCCCGGTGGGGAAGGCGTGTCGGGGCGTCAGGCACACGGGACCCGGGAGCAGGTGAAGTGTGGTCGACCGGCAGTGGCCCGGAGCCCTTCGGCTTTGTCGCGCTTTCTAGATCCCATAGGCGTCCAGCCCTCACCTAAGCTCCCCGCCCCTTGCGTTTCCTTGGGTCGGGGGGGGGTGCCGGCGCTTTTGCCTGAGTTGCCCATTGCCATCCTTACCCGGCTCGAGGGCCCTTAATGCGCCCCCGGCTCGAGTGCTTAGTCGCTCAGTCGTGTCCGACTCTGTGCGACCCCATGGACTGTAGCCTGCCAGGCCCCTCTGTCCACGGGATTCTCCAGGCAGGAATACAGGAGTGGGTTGCCGTGTCCTTAAGAGGATCTTCTTTCGCAGAGACTGAACCTATGTCTCGTGGTTTAGCAGGCGAGTTCTTTACCATTAAGGCCACCTGGGAAGCCCTGAAGGCCCCATCGTTGATGGCATTATACTGTAATGGAGATGGTGTGTGGTAGAGTTTGGCTGTTGCAGAAAGTGTCTCCTGCAAGTCATGGAAATTTATGATCTGGGTAACTGGCTGTTATGGCAGATACCATTACAAATAGTATCTTTAGTTCACAGGCTGAGGATTGCTAACTTGTTTTCTCCTTGTACTAGTATAATGCGATATTAAACACCTTGAGCACATTAGCTTCATGCGTGACAAGTTTAAAAGAAAATTACAATTCTCGTAATGAACTTGCCCAACAAAAGTGAATATGTAAAATAAACATAAAGCTGTTTTACGGTTTAAGAGGTTCTAGAGCCCATTCTGTTTATGGGGGAGGAGCAGGAAGTGGGGAAACAGGAAGAAGGGAAATGAAGAAAAATGGGACACTTGGGTGTTCTCAGTTCAGTAGTTTAGTCGTGTCAGACTCTGTGACCCCGTGGACTGGGTGTTCTAATCAGAGATAATAAGAGGAAGTACACCTATTAAATTTCTTACACCCAGAATCTATTCTATACATCTGCACCAATAGTTGCAGTGGAATAGATGTTCCAGTTGTGTGTTTCTGGGGCCATAAGTATACCTTTCTTGAAAAGAGAAACTACTGTTTTAGCTATCCATGCTGCAAAACAGACTACCCCAAAGCTTTTAGGCTTAGAAGAGTAAACAGTTACTACCTCACTGTATCTTTGGGCCAGGACTTTTGGAAGAGGCTTAGCTGGGTGGTTCTGCTCAGGGTCTCAAAGTTGTAGTTCTAGATGTTGGCAGGGCTGCAGGCATCTGAAGGCTTGACTGGGGCTGAAGGATCTGCTTCGGAGTTTACTCAAGTGTGCTTTTTATTTCTCTCTCGTCAAGCAAGCTGTTTACACCTTCCATTTAAAATGCAGTTTGTGTCACCCTATTATGTGTATCTGTTCCTATTCATTAACTACTGTATAGTTATTTTGTAAACAATTTTTTCTTTTTCAGATCACTTTAAATTTGGATCACCATTTAAACACTTTAAGTGATCTTTTCTTGTTTTATTTTGCTCATGACACTTTATTAGCTACCTGGTCATTTTTGTATCTGAATTCATCAAGTAAAATATATGGTGAGTAACATTTAAATGTATTTATTGATGGTTGAAAATTGTTTAGTGAGTAAAAAAAGATGGGTGTAATGAAGTGGCTTTACAGAGACATCATGCAATTTGCAGTTAGGTGTGCTTTTATTTCTGTGTGCTTTCTGGGATGAGATTTGACGGTGAATCTGTAATTAAATGCATATGGAAGCAAAGTTTGAATGACAGAAGAGCTGTTTTGTTAGGCCTCTGTGAATACTGTGCCCAGCCTACGTTCTCCTTGCACTCATCTGGAGAACCTGACTGGCCACCTTTCTCCTCAGGACGAATTTACAGGCCACAGCTTACTGAAGGAGGGCGATGTTGTTGATGGTGTGTCACCTCTCTGGCTTGGTCATTAATTCAAGCTTTGTGTGTCCCAGTTTCCATCCAGCTGAGTGGATAATGATGTTATCCTTGATTCAAGGAATATTTTATAAACTTTATATATACTGAGCCTTTAAACACATTGACTTCTTTATCCATTCGGGTGTCAAATGCTTACTTTGCAAAGTAGACACAAATGATTCATGACTTATGGAGCTATAAATCTTAAGGTATATAGAAAGGATTCATGGCCTTGGAGGTCTCTTGCATTTTGCTTGTATCTCTTGGTTGAAAATACCTTGAAATCATTATTTCCTAATCCTGGAAGAATCTGTAGACTATAACTCAATCTTTGTGCTTTAGAGAATAATTTTCATTTTTTCATTTTTGCAAATGATTAAGAATTTGAGGGAGTTTCCCTGGTGACTCAGTAGTAAAGAATCTGCTTGCCAATGCAGGAGACAGGAGTTCAATCCCTGGGTTGGGAAGATCCCCTGGAGAAGGAAATGGTGACCTACTCCAGTATTCTTGCCTGGGAAATCCCATGGACAGAGGAGCCTGGTGGGCTATAGTCCATGAGGGGGTCACAAAAGAGTCAGGCACAACTTAGGGACTAAACAACAACAAAAGAATTTGAGGATTGACAACAATCCTACAAAGGGTCCAATGTCATTAACAAAATAGTTGTTATCTACAAAGCAAGTATTCTTCACACTATTAAAAATATTAATGGAACCTTCATAAATTTATTTCATCTAGAGATATGGAACTCTTTCATATAGACTTTTCATGTGCCAACCAATACATAAATGTGAATACATTATTTTTATATTGTACTATAAATTGGACTTATGAGATTTGCATACAACTTTACAGGTTCCCAGGTGGCACTGGTGGTAAAGAACCTGCCTGCCAGTGCAGGAGATGTAAGTGACACAGATTCAGTCCCTGGGTTGGGAAGATACTGTGGAGGAGGGCATGGCAGTCCACTCTGGTATTGTTCCCTAGAGAATCCCATGGACAGGGGAGCCTGGCAGGCTACCGTCCATGGGGTCACACAGAGTCGGACACAACTGAAGTGACGGCATGCATGCACGCATACAACTTTATTAATGTTTATTAATGTTGTATATTCTAGTATTTTATTAATATTTATAATGTTATAAATATATTTCTACATTTTAAAAAATTACACTTTTATGAGGCTGAGTTTATCATTGTGGTCTGAGTTTAATTACTTCTAACTAACTTTTCAAAGGAGTTTTATTTGTTTTGTGTTCATGATATTGAAAATTTGGGGGAAATCAAAGAAAGGAAAAAAATAATGATCACATGTAAGCCCACCAGTGACAGACAAGCCGAATGAACAGTCTCCCAGATTTTTTACATATATGTATGTATTTTTAACAAAAATTTAATATTTTATGTATGATTTTATAGGATACCTTTAAAATTTTAATATCTAATATGTCAATAAATTGGGAATAAGTATTTTTTAATGACTGCATAATAATATGGAATTTATTTCAGTAGTCCTGTATTTTGGGCACATAGTTTCTAACTTTTCCTTATAAACAATGCCATGCTGAACATCCATGTGTAACTCTTTGTATTTATCTAATTAGTTTCTTAGGATAATTTTGTAGAAATGGAAATGCTGAGTCAAAAGTATTTGCTAATTTATTAATCATTTTTGGTACATATTGTCAAATTGTTTGAGAAAAGTTATGCCAATTTATACAACTGCTGATACTCTATTAGGGTGATCATTTCCCCCACCACTAATAGATCATTAGCAATCTTTTGTCAATCTTAGATTGAAATCTCATTGTTTTAAATTAAATTCAATTGATTACCAATAAAGTTGAAATATTTTAATACTTTTCTTGATCTTTGTATTTCTTCCTTTTCCAAATTGCCTTTTCTTAGACATAGCCACGTTATTATTGAGATACTTACTTTTTCTTTTTTGTCTGACTGCATCAGGTCTTCGTTGCAGCCCTCAGGGTACTTCACTGTGTCTCGTGGGGTCTTTCACTGTGGCTCACAAACCCTAGCTGTGTGTGGTGTGCGGACACCGGAGCTCATAGGCTCAGCAGCTGTGGCACGGGCACGCAGTTTCTCTGTGGCATGTGGGATCTTAGTTCCCTCTGACCAGGGCCTGCACCTGCATCCCATGCATTGCAAGGCGGATTCTTAACCACTGGACTGTCGGGAAAGTCCCATCTCATTAATTTTAAAAATCCTTTGTAAAGTAAGGCTTCTTATCTTTCTCCATCATAAATGTTCAAAATTTCCTCCATGTATTAGTGTTTAACTTTGCCATGCATGAGTTTACATTTTTATATAGTCATGTCTATCAGTATTTTTAAGATATTTTTGAGCTCCTCTCTAAAAGTCTAGCCAGCTGGACTTTGTAGAAGTCTGTTTACAAATTCATGTAAATATCCCAAGTTTGATACCAAACTGATTACAAAAGCTCTCTTGACTATGGAAAATTTCCAGGCAGCTAGTCAGTCAAACTGATTCCCTCTCTTAATTTAACCAAGAAATGGTCTATATTATTAATATAAAGCTCTAATCCTTGTGCATGTGACATTTTGAAATCTAAAGTTGTTTAAACAACTCTGCCATATAAAACTGAGCATTGCACAGATGATCCAATCTCAGGTTTCACCTGATGATTGACTCTTCAGTACTACTTAGCAATTAAAGCCTTTTGTAACAGACCCATTACCATTGCAGACTAGTCATTATCCTGCTCAGCATAGTATACTTTTGAGATTCATCTTCTAACATGAAGAAGAGGAGAAGGAGAAAAGAACCACTTTCTACTAGTTATGCTGAAAAGATCACATATTATCTTTTCCAGCCTCCCTTGCAGCTAGGGAATGGGCATGTGATCTAAGCCCAGCCAGTGCCCATCTCTGAATTTTGTATTGAGAGCAAAGAAACAGAACTCCAAGAATCTTTATAACAGCAGCAGAGGACAGAACTAGCAGCAATGCCAGTGATAATATCTGGTGATGGGTTAAGCAGTGTAAGCTGGGTTCAGGGGCAGGGAGGTCTTCACTGCAGGTGTCTGGTGTCATGTGTACTCAGGTGCTTGAGGCATAGTTTGAAACTTGTTTCTTGAAACCAGGCAAGACTGTGATTTCCCAATATCCTTTTAATAAATGCTTTTTGCTTTTATTGCCAGAGCGCTTTCTATTCCATGCACTTAAGAAACCTAACTGACACGAGATCTGAGTAAAATAATAATTGTTCCTTACCAATTTGGAATGGTACATACATTTCCCCCTTCTGGAAACACACACTTGATCTGTCTCGGATTTGGGTTCACCTTTCAGTGTTCACATCACTCTGCTTTTGCAAGTTTGCTTGCTAAGTCTATTCAGTCATGTCCTTGCAACCCAGTGGACTGTAGCCTGCTAGGCTCCTCTGTCCATGGAATTCTCCAGGCAAGAATACTGGAGTGGGTTGCCATTTCCTTCTCCAGGGGTACTTCCCAACCCAGGGATCAAACCTCTTTTGTCTCCTGCATTGGCAGGTAGGTTCTTTACCACTAGCGCCACCTGGGATTGAATGCCAGTCTGAAAACATTCTGTGAAGCTGCTAAAAGAAAACTCCTGTTATAATTTTGATTAGAGATTCATTAAATTTATAGATTAATTTGAGGACAGTAATACCAGCCATGTGGTCTCCTTAGTAAAATGGTCTGGCTCTTGTTATCAGTGAAGTTCCATTAAAGAAGCAAAACTACTTTGCATGCTAACAAATAAGAAAGACCTTCTGTAACTGTAGGGACTGGGAGAGCAGGCTGTTGCCTCTGTGTCTGTTTTTGGGCATGAAGCATGTCAGCTAGACAGTTGGGAAGGGAAGGTGGGTGAGAACAAGGACATTGCAATCTGCATTGACTTCTCACCAGCTTCAGTTTTGATACTGTGGGTGACCTGCAGGAGAGGCCCAGGACTTGGAGAGGGTGAAGGAAGATATGGTGGGAGCTGAAGGAGCTGCAGGCCTCGCCTGCCCATGCCAGCAAGGTGAGCTGACAGATCAGCAACAACATGTGCAAGCCCCACAGTGTGTCCAGGACCAACCTTTAGAGTTAAAAAATATGGCCGCTGCTTCACTTCTGCTTTCCAGGTTCCATGTACAGAGTCTCCTGTAGCCAGCACGACACATAATGAGGAAGGGGATTCTGGGAAGTGTACTTCCAGCTTAGCTGGAACATAGCACAAAGCCACAAGAGCTCTGCATAGCTGATTGACATAATACCGTTCTGTCATTTTCTTCACATGCAGTGCATTATCTGTTTAGTTTATCCTTGATATTTGAGTTTTTATTGCTGTTATGAATGTTCATTTTCCGGTAGTTTCCCCTTTCGATTATTGCTGGTATATTAATAATTTATCTTGAATTAGCCACCTTTTGCAACTTAAATTCTAGGATAGGCTAAGTTGCTTCAGTTGTGTCCAACTTTGTGCAACCCTATGGACTGTAGCTTGCCAGGCTCCTCTGTTCATGGGTTGCTCCAGGCAAGAATACTAATGGGTTGCCATGCCCTCCTCCAAGGGATCTTCCCAACCCAGGGATCAAACCCACACGCATCTCTTATGTCTCCTGCATTGACTGGAGGGTTCTTTACCACTAGCAAGACCTGG